TCAGTAACAGACTACGCCGCCAGGGACTAAAATCCTGCAGTGTCCAGACGTGTCCCCCTGCTTAAGCCAGTACATGTCCAGGCCCGTCTGAAGATTGCTAGAGAGCATTTTGATGATCCAGAAGAGGATTGGGAGAATGTCATATGGTCAGATGAAGCCAAAATAGAACTTTTTTGGTAAAAACTCAACCAGACGTGTTTGGAGGAGAAAGAATGCTGAGTTGCATCCAAAGAACACCATACCTACTGTGAAACATGGGGGTGGAAACATCATGCTTTGGGGGTGTTTTTCTGCAAAGGGACCAGGACGACTGATCCGTGTAAAGGAAAGAATGAATGGGGCCATGTATCGTGAGATTTTGAGTGAAAACCTCCTTCCATCAGCAAGGGCATTGAAGATGAAAAGTGGCTGGGTCTTTCAGCATGACAATGATCCCAAACACACCGCCCGGACAACGAAGGATTGGCTTCGTAAGAATCATTTCAAGGTCCTGGAGTGGCCTTCATCATAAAATAGTGTGTGTGAGCTTAACATGGGTGTATTCATCTAACAGGGGCATTTCTTATTTTATTTCTGCTTTTTTAAGTAAATAAGTAAGTACAAATTTATTTATATAGCACCCTTATCAACAGGAAAGTGCTTTACATACAGTACACAATACAACTATAAAATGTGCAATAAAAGGCATAAAACATAGCAAGTAAAAGATAGGATAAAACGAAAAAAAGCTACATACTACAGTTTTTAAATAGTAGTGTGTGCTCATGTGTTTCATTGGTCTACTGCCTGCATATTCCATGGTAAGATTAATATTTAACCTCTATTTTGTAGAACAGTTCAAACATAGTGTGCACCTAAATATTTAAATATCACCCATAGCACGTGAAAACCAGAAGCTGAAAGAAAATCCATAAATGCCATTTGTCAACACACTCTCTTGTATAGTCTTCTGTACAGACCTGCAATGCATACAGCACATTTCATAATTATGTTTCATTTGTTCTACTCCAGTCTGTGTTTCTACTGCAATCCCTAATAAAAGATCAATACATTTTGTTTAATAATTTAGATTATCTTGTATTAGCATTAAAAATAAGGATTAATTTAAATCAGTTCTGCATTAAATAATGATTCACTTTTTGATTACCAGCCTCTACTTCTGTTATTTCAATATTCACAGTAAAAATAAACTATTGCCAGTAAGCAGTTTAGTTTCCGATAAGAACGGCAGTGCTCGGAGTCAGATGTGAAGAATGGAGTCACTGTAATATTAGTGAGACACTACACAGAGCTTCAAAGAGCCCTTGTGAGGAAGCAATCGAGCAGGGAAATGCCATCTGGTCATCCAGCTCTTTTTTGAATGACAGTGAAACAAAGGGCAGATTTTCACCCACAATATCAGCTCACCTTCTTGTCTCTCAGTGCTGGAGGCAGCAGGGCCCTTGAACGCTCCGCAATTTTCTGAGAGAAAAGCAAATAAAGAGACAGGGTCAAGAAGAGTGTTTTTTTTCCCACTTTTAAAGAGGTCAGACATTGTTTATTTGCATGTAAATGTGTGTGTAGCAATTAAGATATGAACAACTTAGTGTCAATGGGGCACCTCTATCTATGAATTTGTCATAAATAAACATTCATTGACCATGCAAATGCACTTATGAAATAAATAAATAATATTTCATGAGGAATTACCTTCTGCAGATCCCCGTAGCGCTGCACAGACTCTGAGAGTTCAGTCTTTAGTCTAGTCAGGTGCAGACGGTCTTGCTGTGCAACAAAAACAAGATTAGCCTTAATTAGCCCAAATGTTGTTTCATCCTCTGTTTATTCTTCAAAACGACAGGGAATGAGGATGGAAAGGGAGCATAACATACCCGTGAAGAGCTGCTGATTATATCAGAGAGCTGTTTGATGAGTTGGCTGGTGCTGGTGATCACTTTGTTGGTTTGTTGCTGCATGGAGTGTCTGGGGAAAAGATTGGAAGGAATACAGGGTGAGATAAGTGTGAAAAAGAGAGAAAAAGCAAGAAAAATATCAAATTAAATGAGACACGAAAATATTTTAATAGAAAAGTGCAGGTTCAGGTTATTTATTTGACCTATAAGTAGATTTGGTTTGCAGATAAAAAGAAGGAAGAAGCTTATTATAGAGCTGGATAACTGCTGTAACAGTCTGCTACGTTTAACTTTGGCTTACCAATCAATCTGCTGGACCTCTTTATGATCTGAGTGACAGAGTTTCTGCTCTTTAAAGGCAGGTTACCAAACCATAACATTAAAGAAAAAGACAGAATTTACTATAAAAGCACGATAAAACATGATCATCATGGTTTTGTCGATGTTAAAATAGGACAGTTTCCTAAGTCAATACCAACGCTGGCGATCCGTTTGGCAAACGGCTTCACAATTTGCTTCAAAGCTCAATTCAGAGTCAATCATTGTAAGATTGCACAAGTTCCACTGTCTGGTTCTTTATGGACAATATTGATGGAGTTATTTGTTTTGCATTGTAATTTTCTGCTACTGTGATAGCCTTTTTAAACAGCATAACATTGACATTTCAAAAATAGTTTCACAAATGTTCCTTCTGATGCTAGATTATTGTTACCTATTGAAGAAATGTGGAAAATTGTCCTTTGAAACATTTGAATTTATCCCAGCTTTTCACCCCTCAGTGGTCATCGTTTAAAACTAACGGTCCACCTATATAACCCCAGGACAAGTTATTGTTTCCAATTTTCAACCCAAACTTTTTCTTTCCTTAACAAATTAGTTTTTATACCTTAAACACCAGCAACACAATAAATGAGCACAAAGCAAACTGGTGCAGAGATGTGGAAAGAGGAGACTTATGATAGGGCCTGATACAGTTGTATTAATGTTATAACATGGTTGGAACAATGGAGTAATATGCGTGCAACATGGGTATAATTACAGTGTAATATGGCTTGAATTTAGAAAATAGCAAAAAAAAAATCTAAATATTTAAAACTGAATGCCCATTTAAGGGTTGATTCTTAGCATGGGGAAAGACGATTATTTTATGGTTAAGGTTATTTTTCATCAGTCAAATCTGGCAACATGATCTTTGTAACAGGGACTGTGAAGCTGACGTTGAGCGGCCCGCAAGCAAGGAGGCAGAACGTCCAAAATACAACCTGGTGTCTGCATTTATTACTCACGGGTACATGACACAGCCTCAATCTTGCTGTTCAAGTGAGCACAGTCACCAGCCACAAGGATCTCACACACCAAGCAAAACAGGAAACACAGAGCCTAAATGCCCACACTGATGGCGCATTTACACTGCAGGCCTTGCTCGGCCTCGCTCGGTTTGGTTAGGCCTTATTAGGCCCGGCTCACTTTAATGCTGCGCTCACATTACAGTTTAGGAACTGGGGTAGTTACTATAGTAACGCAGTGTAGGCGGGGCGATCGGCTTTTTGGCGGGCGGAGCGACGCTGCATACAACTGCCGTGACGTCATCTTCAATGCGACACAACTCACAAAACACACAACAACAATGGAGGATGTGGAAGCCATCGTGTCCTTGCTTCTTGGTATGTGGTTTTTTCTTCTTAGGTTCACTGTTTTCAAAAATGCTGCAAGGTTCACTGTTTTCAAAA